TTGCAATGTATGGCTGTGAAAGCTGGACCATAAGGAAGGCTGAGCGCCAAAGGATTGAGGCCTTTGAATTGTGGTGCTGGAGGAGACTCCTGCGAGTCCCTTGGACCACAAGGCAATCAAACAGGTCTGTCCTAGAGGAGATCAACCCTGACTGCTCTTTAGAAGGCCAGATACTGAAGATGAAACTCAAGTACTTTGACCACCTAATGAGAAGGAAGGACTCCCTGGAGAAGAGCCTAATGCTGGGCACAATAGATGGCAAAAGGAGGAGGGGATGGCAGAGAATGAGGTGGCTGGATGGAGTCACTGAAGCAGTTGGTGTGAGCTTGAGCGGACTCCGGGGAATGATGGAGGACAGGAAGGCCTGGAGGAATGTTGTCCATGGGGTCTTGATGCGTCCGACACGACTTTGTGACTAACAACAACAACAACAATTGTTGGCATTAAAGTTATGTAACTTTTCTATAGTCATGTGTTTTAATTTTCACAATATCCAGCTGCTTTTGCACTTTTCACTTTAAAATGACTAGAGCAGGCCATTCCTGCCTTTACTTATTTATGTATTTATTTCCATTTCTATGCCACCCCATAACCCAAAGGTTCTCTTTCACATCTGTCTATCACTCTGTATTATTTCTGGGCCACCTTTACAATGGATCATATGCAAAGTTACTTTGGGGGACTTTTTAGATATTCTGTAATTTGTGGTAAATATTTTTTCTTTTCTTTCTATCATCTGATAGCTTATGGTTTTCTGCACATAAATGTAACTCAGCTTTTATATCACTTAACACGATTTCCTTTTAATCTTCATACTGATCAAGTGGCCTTTGTTAGTATGTTATACACATCATTACCCAAATTGCATCTAAATGTTTGTGTGGTCACTAAAGCTACACACATAAAACTCTAGGCAGATAATAAGTGATAATGTCTACAAAAGGCACAGTCCTATGGGGCTGCCTGCAACTCTCCAGACTGAGAGGATTAAGGGGAATCCCATGCATGGTGGGAGGATTGTGGAGTGCAGGTGCTCC